CTTCTCTTTCTCCTTCTGTTAGCTGCTACATGGGAACTTTTAGAAGCATGTTAGAATCACTCTTCTAGGTGACCTAGAATGAACTTTGCATTACAGTGCTAAATTTTTCACCCAGGAGGTACTACAGTCTGCCATATTTGAACATGCAAAGTATAAAGAGGCACAGTCTCAAAATGAGCATCCTCAGGAACATGCCTGCCTCTACATGTTATGACTGGTCTTTTCATTATAAATATATGTCTTCCAAATACAATCCCCTTCTCCCTCATGGCTGGGGAGACAATGCTTTGGGTGCTATCTTGCTGTAAGTAATAAACCCTACTTTACTCGCTTATCTCCTAGCTGTTTGCTTAAATTTCCTAGAATCATAACTAAAGTTGTGAAGCTACCAGAGCAAAAATGCTGCTAAGGGTCTAAAAAGTTATGAGAATCTTGAATTATAGTTATTCCACTCTCAGATGATACTTGGAAGTATCCGTTGAAATTATAGGCACTTGTAAATCTGGGCTTAAACGCCTGGGGGGATTTCTCCATAACATGACTTAAAAAAAAAAAAAGACACCACACTTCAGAAGATGTACATCTATTTTACTTTCAAAACTACATATAAACTTTGCATTGCATGGTGGCACCTAATCTCAGCAGTCTGGAAAGCTGAGGCAGGAGGATCTCAACTTCAAGCCCAGCTGGCAACTTATTAAGTTAGCAAGATCCTATCTCAAAAAGGGGGGGTTAGAAGGGGGTGGGAATGTAGTTCAGTATGAAGACCATGGATTCAATCCCCATTACTCTCCCCTCCAAAAAAACCCAGGCTGTGTGCTTTAATACAGGTGAGAATGAAGATTCAATTAAAAATTGGAAGACCCAACTTTAAAATTAAATATTGAAAGAGCCAAATTAAAATTTAGAAGAATTCAATTTAAAAAATTTAAAAGTTCTGTTCATAGGTGATAACTTTCAAGGTAATAGTATGGAAAGCAGCTATGCTAACCACTATACCACCAACACTTCTGATATGGAAATCTACAACCCGGAACATAAAATGAAAATGAAACGGTGTAATATATAATTTCAAGTAGTAATTTTCAAGGTCAGGTTGCAAATAGCAAATTGACACCTAATAATAAATTTGTTCATGTGTTTTCCATAAGTGAAACTAATTCCTAATTCCTTATTGATGACATTTCAGATTGAATAAATATATAATTCCCATCTTTCACCTCTTTACCTGGTATCAATTCTCTTTTGATAGTATACAATTATAAGAGTCTATAATCATCAAATCTGGATATTACTGCTAATGTACTTATACCAAAAATATTTTTACTGTGATTTTATCTCTACAGGTTTTTTGTCATATTAACAAGGGAAGTTTTGTATATCATAAGATTATAAAGCTATTATAAAAGCATGAAACATGCAAGAGTTTTTTATTGTGCTAAAAACATATTTACTAAACTGGATAAAGAAGATGTGGTTTTTCTATAAAATGGAATACTACTCAGCCATAAAGAATGAGAAAGTAGATTCATTCATAGGTAAATGGGTACATTTTGAGGATATACTCCTAAGTGAAATAAATAAGTCACACATATGCAAATACTGAATAGTTTCTCTGGTGTGAAAAACTAAAATAGTACTCAAGATCCTAAAGGGACAATTAGCAATGTGAAATAGGAAGAAAAGGACCAAAGGTGTAGGGACAGTGAGAAGGATAGGGAAAGGGGAATGAGTGAAAAGGAAAAAAATATAAGAAAATGTAAAAATGGAATTAAAGTGTTTGAAGGTGGGGAGGGGAGGAGGGGGTGAGGG